TTCAAATTGCAAGGCAGGCTCCACTGGTCTCTTCTTCCAATGGCGCTGTTCACTGGATTTGACCAGATGGCAAATGCTGTCTCATTTATACTGCATTTCATTGAGCTCTCATCTATCCTGAGCATTTGCACATATGCTGACCTGGGTGGATGCCTCAGAAAGATCTGTGAATGCTGCGGTCTCTACCACGACAGATGTGAAAGCAGGTCTGGTTTGTCTTTTATGTCTACCCCTCACCACTAACTACAGTTTTCAATAAATTTGAGATGTGATAGCAGGTTTTGTGGGATGAGTTGAAAATAAAGCTCAGAAACTGTAGAATCAGATGGAAGATTCTTTGATTAAGGAATCTTACAATAGTTAACATTTAGACAGAAAATACATCATTTATATTGACCTTTCTGTCAAGCTCTTTGAGCTTTATGCTTATAATAGGTCTAATTCTATCATTTTAGTGGATCATATTTTAATTGATTTCACTAACAATCCTAATCAAACAAAGCGCTTCCTTGATGGGGTATTCATTGCCCATCAACACTTCATCTATTATCTACAAACTGCAGAGGAGTGCATGGTTTCTCGATCCTTGGAATGCTATAGAATACAATTCACATGCTTTTTAAGAGACATGTCACTGCTGAAACTGAAGCGATCCATTAGAGCAAACGAAGTATCTCTGGTTTTAAAAAGTCCACATGAGGTGAAGATAAAGCAGCTAACTAAATGAAGGTGTGTTTTGCACATATATCTGCAATCCCTTCATGTAAGATGACAAAGAGAGGTTTATAGAATATAGAGTCTCTGTCCAATAGTTCCAACATATTTACTGGAGGGTTAAAATGACATTTACTAGATTGTCTGCAAGTCAATGCCAAAGTGCATAAATATGACAGTATATTATCATGGTTTTACCAATTGGCATAGCCAGTAACTTTTTCATCCTTTATCAGCAATACTCAAGAGATACATTGCTACAAATAAGTCTTATTTTATGAAAACAAAACACACCAAAAATAACGGGGAAAAAAGTTTTATGGAGGAATGGAAATAAAACAACACAGAAGTAAACACGAGGTGCTTATTTTATGGTGTGCAGTATATCATATAAAGAGGTTACAGGTGCATACCTAAGTAAATACAGAGGGAGCTGGAACTCAAATATAGAACAAGAGATTCATTTTCAAGACCCATAGCTTGATCATGGAATTCTGACATAGGAGTAAAGTTATTTCAGTTATGATGGCACTGTTGTCCAATAAAAATATTCGTGGCCTTAGTGAAGCACATTAGTGAGATAATATGAAGCTTTACTTCCTGTGGTTTTCCCCACCCTCCACCACGCAGGTATAAAAGGCCATGGCAGACACAGACAACAGAACTCAAATACTAACTTCCTGATCTTCAACAGAACTGTCCACTCCTGACACCATGTGCTACTACGGCAACTGCTATGGTGGCTTAGGCTATGGCTATGGTGGCCTAGGCTGTGGCTATGGCTATGGAGGCTATGGCGGCTATGGCTATGGTGGCCTAGGCTGTGGCTATGGCTATGGTGGCTATGGTGGCTATGGTGGCTATGGCTATGGCTGTTGCCGCCCCTTGTGCTGTAGAAGATACTGGAACTGTGGTTTCTACTGAAAAGCTTCCACAGTAGCTTTACTTATCAGA